TTTTACATTTTGTCTCTATGCAGTTTAAAGCAGTACGATTGCTTTGAAAAAAAGTTCATAATTTCCAAAATATGTCAAAATAAAGAAAAAAAGTAATTTTGTCAAAGTCCTAGTTTCTCAAAAATATAATTTTTTCGAAGTAATTTTTTTTCAAAAATGTTAATCGTTTTTTAAAAAATATTAATATTTGGTACGGGAAGTTCCATCAATTTGCCTTAAGGCACGGTTCCATGCGCCCCACTAGTTATATAAAATATGATGCACCACGTGCATTCACCATGATTTCATATCAAAATGAAAGTGGACATTGGCCGATTACTTGTACTTATTACAATTAGTAACAGTTATTAAATAGTAATAAGTAATGCATTCGATCGAGCTTAAGGTGAAATTCTGGAACTTCTCGATATATAAAAAAAATAATCCACAAAAAAATTCAAATTATAATTATTGTTAGTTAATATTTCTAAGATGTTGACTATTACATAGATATATTTCTATTGCTACAAATTAACAATAAAATTTAGAAACTCGTGTTCAATTGCTTTTCCAATAACGTATGCTACTATGAAGCTTTCACAACATATTTATTCAAATATGAAAAAAATAGCTATTCTCAAAAATTATAAATTTAGTTTTTTTTTTAATTGAAAACTTTTTAATTATACCTAAAAGTTTGTGGGAACTATGAAATTTTGAATGTCACCAGTGACATTACTACGTCCAGATGTTGTAGTAGTTTGTACTAATATTTAGATTATTTTTACTTCTGGTCACTGCTTTTATCTTTTTCCACCATAATATTTTGTATGAATATTCTACCAATCAAGATGATCAACCATTTCATGATCCATGCCTGATCATATTTTCTCAACGGAAAATATTGTTAATGTGTAACGAGTGAGGCGTGGCCTGTGCACGGCGTTTTCCGAGTTTGCGCACACGTTTTCACAGCCACACGAGTTTCTTATTATGTAAAGGTCATGGATGGTACAAATGCTATAACATAAAAACCTCGAGTGCTTAGATACACATTGAATACGAAGATTATTGATTTCGAAACGTATAAAATTAATAATATGATTTTTAGTATAATATTTGTATCTAAAGCCTTAAGTTTTGTTGTCAAATTTGGTCAAACCTTTGGTCTCTACTTTTAAAACAAATTTTGTAAGACATGTCGCACATTTCCAATTATGTTTAAGTAACTTTATCTTTACTCATTATCGTTTGCAATTACATTTGTTCTTTTAAAATACTATATTTTTCATCCTTTTGCAAGACCTTGTTCTCCCAAGGCCAACGTATCCAGAATAATGTTGTCCCGAGCGCGGGGGTAAGCAAGGCGTCCGTGACCTGAATTTGCGCTGGATGTGGGTGTATGGGTATCGCGCTCAGAATATCGTAGGGGTTTTTTGGATGGGATCCAGAATCGAAGGGTGGGCGACGTTCAAGCGACCAATTCGCTTCGTCATTCCTCACTCGGTCACGCTGCCTTGCGTAGCTCTACGATTCGACTCGGAAAAAAAGAAAAACTAGTGGGTGGGTGGCATCGTGCCTTAAGGCAAATTGCTGGAACTTCCCGTACCGTAACGAAATGTTCGAGGAATACTGAATGTTTTCAAAAAGATTATTATAAATATTGTAACATTGTCTAATATTTATAAGAATTATATAAACTGAATTGCAGAGTTGAAATTATTTGTTTAAAGTATATTAGAACTATAGTCAGAATTAAAAATAAAATCTGAATTATTTTCGATATACAAAAAATTTAAAAAAAAAAAAAAAAAATGGTACAAATTTTTTTTTTCCAAAATCAATTATTTTGTTAAGACAAGCAGAAAGTTCTTTGAATCAATTGAATCGGACGCTTAGTTCTCTCAAAAACTGCCATTTTTTGTACATTTAGCTCTGTATCTCCGAAATGGCTGGGCCTGCCTTTGCGCAAAACTAATAACCCTTTCTCCCAATCATTACTAATGGAATGTTTTTTAGAACATTCAAATCGGATGCTCCGTTCTCTCAAAAACTCGATTTCTATTTTCTGCACTCTTTGCTCCTTATCTCCGTAACTGCTGGACCTGTCTTTGCCAAAAACTAATCAGCTCTTCTCCTTATTAATAGGAATCGAATGTTTTTTAAACCATTCAAATCGGTTGATCCGTACGCCCGAAAACGTGGACGAAAATTTGTATCCATACATACATACACACACACACACACACCACACACACATCCATTTTTTCTGAGGTATGCCAAAACGTTCAGAAACCTTCAAAACGTCGAGAAATGTAAAAATTTTCAATTCCGATTTTCGGCCCATTACAATAACTTACCCTACGGGAAGTTAACTAGTGGGGTGGGTGGCATCGTGCCTTAAGGCAAATTGCTGGAACTTTCCGTACCGTAACGAAATGTTCGAGGAATACTGAATGTTTTCAAAAAGATTATTATATTTTATCTGAATAGATTATAATTATATAAACTGAATTGCAAAGTTGAAATTTTTTGTTTAAAGTATATTAGAACTATAGTCAGAATTAAAAATAAAATCTGAATTATTTTCGAGATACAACAAATTAAAAAAAAAAAAAATGGGACAATTTTTTTTTCCAAAATCAATTATTTTGTTAAGACAAGCAGAAAGTTCTTTGAATCAATTAAATCGGACGCTTAGTTCTCTCAAAAACTACCATTTTCTGTACATTTAGCTCCGTATCTTCGAAATGGCTGGGCCTGCCTTTGCTAAAAACTAATTACCACTTCTCCCAATCATTACTAATTGAATGTTTTTAGTTCATTCAAATCGGATGCTCCGTTCTCTCAAAAACTAGATTTCTATTTTCTGCGCTTTTTGCTCCGTATCTCCGTAACGGCTGGACCTGCCTTTGCCAAAAACTAATCAGCACATCTCCTTATCAATAGGAATCAAATGTTTTTTGAACCATTCAAATCAGTTGATCCGTACGCCCGAAAACGTGGACGAAAAATTGTATCCATACATACATACACACACACACACATCCATTTTTTCTGAAGTATGCCAAAATGTTCAGAAACCTTCAAAACGTCGAGAAATGTAAAAATTTTCAATTCCGATTTTCGGCCCATTACAATAACTTACCCTAGGGAAAGTTAAAAAAAAAGCGCCGTCGTGCATGTGATATATTGCAGATACACATCGAAAAGTTTTGGCACAAAAGATACCGATCGAATATTTATGTTTTTTGTTTACAATCAATTGTTTTATTGATAAATAAGATGCTATGCACATAACATTGCTTTTTTTGACATTCCATTAAAATATTTAAGAGCTACTTTGACTTTCTGGAGTTGTTTTTTATACTTTTTGTTGAATTTTGGTGTACTTTCATTGACGCAGTACTTACAAATCATTATGCTGCATTATACACGCGTCCTAAACACGTGAGACATAGAAAAAATCAATAATAATGTTTAGTCATTCTGCATCCTCATGATATGTTGATTTTATAAATGGTTTCCAATGCGTATTTTTCGATATGTTATTCTATATAAAATTGATGGCGCATTTTTTACAATAATTAAAATCAATCAGAAAAAAATTCTATAAGCTATTGTGTTGATTAATGGTGCATTTAGACATTTTTTTTACACTCAGTTAATATTTTACAATGTTAAAAAAAGGAAAACCAAATCATTTTAAATATTTAATATTTTTTTAAATATGTTGCAAATTAAAATATAGAATGTATTGCTTTTGGTAAGTACGGTTTTGCAGTAACCGCAAATTTAAAAATCCTTGGGCCAATCCTGAGCTTTTGTGTGATCAATCATTTTGAATATACCTGAAGTTTTTTTAATTTTTCAGCAATTCTGCAGTTTGAAATGAGCAATTTTTAAATATTTTGTATTTCTAAAAATTCTTGAAAATGCTAATTTTTGTAAGTTTTATCAACTTGAAAACCTTCGAAATGTTTTAACAATAGCATAGGTTTATTGTGTTTTTTTTCAAGGATTATTATTTATTACATTTTTACTCATGATTGTGATCGCATTTTATATAAATTTATATGTTCATACCTCTATTTATATATATTGTTACTTTTTACTTTGAATTTGTATGTAATGAGCATTAAGAAATATTTAAGCATGTAAATCTATAGGTTTATTGTGTGTTTTTTGAGGATTATTATTTATTATATTTTTACTCATGATGGTGATCGTATTTTATATAAATTTATATGTATATATCTCTATTTATATATAGAGTTACTTTTCACTTTGATTTTGCATGTAATGAGCATTAAGAAATATTTAAGCATGTAAATCTACTTTTGTCATAACAAAACGCTTAATGAAATTGCCAGTGAGTCTAATTTGAGCATCTCCAGTGATAAAACCATGCATGTAAAAATTACGTTTCTTCCAATGATGGTAGAACAATCTGGTGTAGCCTACATCCGGAAGCTTCTTGTGTGATGCAGAATATTCAACGATAAAAAGACGGCCGTGAAGTTATTCGACATACCGATATAAATTCTTCAAAAATCCATATAATACAATTCCAAAAGAATTAGCTGTCAACAATTTGGAACTTTGTCATATCAAATCCCACATTAAACCGGAAAATTGTTGTAAATTCTATTTGTTCTGAGCTCCATTTACATATATGATAAAAAAAATCATCTCTACAAATTCTAATTGATTTATATTGTTCTATTACTTCAGCAAATAAGTTTGCTAGCGGTTATGCCGATGAATGTTTGTTACTATATGCAACCTGCTGATGCTATAGAAGCTTCATTAACTATTCATTGTACCAAATGTAGCCACAAACACAGCCACCATCGGAACATGCTAACTCAGCCAGCCACCACAACCCAGCCTAAAGGCAAAGTTTTGAAAACGCAGAATAACAAACAGTTTGCTAGGAATTTAGTAGAATTTGGACCATTTGGACAAGTTTAATACGTAAAGACGTGAAGAAAAATTAGACACTCAGGCTTGGTAGAGATTTTGAAAAACTCAATACCCTTATAATCAAATACATTCCTGCTGCTCTCTGCGTAGCCATCCTATTTTTTGTCATACAGTTAGCTAGAGTTTATCATCAAGTACCCATGCATGGGGAAGATCTAAGTAAAGCTGCCGTTATTAATCTTTGCGACTTTGCGAAATATTCGTGCATATCATTAGATCTAAAAATGCATTCCAGAAATGCTAATAAATTATTAATAAATATAAATTTTCTTAGAGACACCTTTATCATCTGCAAATGGTATTTGACAGACTTACATAACGGTTGCAATTATGTTTAGAAAAACGGATTAGAGCAAGCCAGAAGTGAACCTTCATGAATATAATTTGAATGTTAGTTGATCCATCTTTAGGGCGACCACCGCTCTTTAACTCTGGAGAATTTGAAAACTGATGAATAAACATAGAAAATGAAATGATTCTTTAAAATCAACCATAAAAAACGATAATTTGCTTTTATGTGGAATTCAGAAACACTGCTCTAAACTCACATTAAGATATTACAATAACTTTAGTATATGAAACATTTTTGCTGGAGCCGCAAAAGTTTTAATATTTCCTGAAAGAAAAGTTTTATTGAACAATACTGGTCATAGACTAATTACTTTTCCTTTTCAAATGTGACTATAGACCAGGATTTAAATCGGCCGCGACGAATGGAATACATAGCTAGCTGCAGATACTATCAAGAGCAAATATAATACATATGTCCACAGAAGTATCAGCACAAGAGTCCTGTCGTGAGTAAGGCGTAGTTGCAGATTTGAAATGTTTAATCAATCGAGGGGTATCGCTGAGTCTTAACAAGCAAACTTTACTTAATTAAATTTTGGTAAACCGCAAAGTCTACGCAGAAAGCTTTCAACATCATCCAAGGAATGTTTTACTCTATCTTTAGGAAAATTATTTACTTTACTATTGTATAGTCTAAAAATGGAAATGATGTTTCTATGTCAATGCATTATCTATCAAAATTCCAAAATCAACAGTACCCTCGATACTGTCTATATTCTCGTTCCGAAATATTTTTTAATATTACATTGTCATTGTAATACAACCGAACATCAATCTAACTGCTCAGGACAGACCGTGTCTGCGTATATGGCCGCCTGCGTGCGAGCATATTCGACCTTCCAAATTATATAATTCCAAAAATATCAGTATACTGTTTTTTACTTTCTGAAAGAAGTTTTACGCTAAAAAATGGACATGCCTGCTATTAAATTTTTTTTCGACGTTTTAAATCATTCTGAATCGTTTGAGTGTATATGAGCCGATTTTGGTCTTTCGCAGACGTTTTCTTGAAAACTGATAAATCGATTTAGAAAATTTAAAAGCCATGATATGTAACTCAATAAGGACTAGCTTTTATCAATGTTGTGCGACGATCGGCTAGGCAATTTCTTTGTAATTAGCAGAAATTAGTGTAAAAAAAATTATCCACGTTTTAGCCCAAAATCCTGCATCGATTTTAAAAATTTTAAAATTGGTCGAAAGATAGCATTCGGGAATCGTACTGATTACTTTTGCAAAGTTTGGTCGTGTCGTTTCTTTGTATTTGTTTTTTTTTTGGTAATTTTAGGAAACTTTTTCTGAGGATATAGATCATGATCTGAACATACTAAATATTTTCAGCCTACAACAAGTCGTATTATTTTAAAAAAATCATCGAAGTTTTAAAAAAAGCTAGAATTGCTTTTTGACACGAGTCAAAATCTTTATCAAAATCATTTCTTTATCAGAAAAGTGCAATTTTTTTGTCTACGTTATAGCCCAAATTGTGAACGGGTTTTGAAAATTCTAAAACTATTTTAAAGGTATCATTTTGTAATCGTTGTGAATAGTTTTAGTTCTATATCTTTGTACTGTTTTTTTTTCTGGTGGTTATAAATATGTTGATAAAACAAAACATATCCTGAACAGACATTCATACTGATAATAAAAATAGAAAGGAAACTAAATTATGTTCCTAAAAATAACCTTAATCGTTTTCCATACGGTTCGTTCCGTATTTTGACTCTTTTTCAATGGACAAAAACAAAACTATAAAAAAGTTGAAGAGAGAAAAGAGAATAGTCAAAGAAAAAGAGTCAAATTGAGACTCTAAACGTAAACTACACATATTGATTGCCTTTAGCTTATTTTTAAGTACTTATTATTATGTGAGACTTTCATTGGATAAAAATTATAACTTACTGTAAAAAACTTGGCACAGTTTATAGTTAAACAGCTAAAATAGCTCATGATCTGTCATAATTCAAATACGAATGTGATGTGATTCGTATGTGATGAATGAATGAGTGAGTAGTGACATTTAAACCATTTATTTCTTCCGCTTAAGATAAAAGCATTGATATATCATATTTCGAAAATAGAAAATCGGAAATCCAGTGAAAGCAATGAGATCTGGCATCATGTCATACCAAAGGATGGCCGTGACCTAAATAGGATGCTCCCTCTACACGTGCTTTAAATGGGTCACGGGGCTGACTGCTATCGATGTTCCTGTTTTACAAAGCTTAATACAAGCGTCGCTATCGGATTTATGGTTTATTCCTCTACTCGTTATGAATATAAACCAACCAGCCACTTGTTAATGGTGAAGTGATGGAAGATATATATTTTATAATAACGATTTTCTTGAATGAAATGGAATAGAGTTATCGTTTGTTTGGTCTTGCGCTCGTTATAATTTAAATTGAAATATGGAAATAGATAAACAGATTTTAATACTGATCTAAAAGTATATTTCAATCAAATATTATATATTACAGAAATACCATAATTATAAACCAGCATAGTAAATATGGATTATTTTTTTTTTTTTAAATTCAGTTTTTTCAAATTTTTCAAAATATTTTTTACATTTTTAAGATATTAATTTTTTTTTTATAATTTTCATAGTCTGAAATATTCTAAAATATAAAAATTTAAATGGAGATTTTCAAAAATAAATGTGAATAATTTGTTAAAAGAACTATTTTCTACTTATATTAATTAAATACGAATTATATATTTCAAGTTTTTGATTATATAATTATAATTTTGCCTAATATATATTTTGGATATATATTGTCAAGTGAAAATGGACATCGCTACTGCCCGATGTTAGGTTGTCCAGAGCGGGGTTCAAACTCAATACCCCGTCCAAACATGTCCGCGCGTTACGCAATGGAAAATCTATAATTACAAAGACCTTTATGATTATAAAGAGAATAATCTTATATCCTTTGCTTGTTTATAATAAATAATATTGTAAATAAATAAAATGCGGTATTTTATAAAAAAAATAGAAAGACTATTAATTTTTCGGAATGTTTTCGACTTTAACTAAAAGACTGAAACTTAATATTCTAGATACGCATAAACAATATTATACGCATTTAATTTATGATTCAAAATATTTTTTGAGTACTTTTTTGACAGAAAATCCAATTTGCTACATTTAGTTTTTTTCAAGTCATTCTAAATCGTTTGAAATCAAAATTGGAAAAAGGTATGTGTATATGTATATGAGCCAAATTTGTCTTTTGAATCGGCTGCATCTAAAGCTTCTATCAAATAATATCTGTTGGAAGCAATGATGATCAGTTCTTAGGTAAAGATTTTCCAGGTCGTTCCTTTATAATTGTGTAGCTTTGTATGATGATAGAAACCATGATCCTAACAAATATCCTCAAATATTGTAGCCCTACGAAAAGTGGTTTGGTTATGAAAATTCATTCATATGGTTTCGTTATAAATTCAATTGGTTTAGTTATAAAATTCAGTCATGTTGTTCATAATGAGTCGTCATAGCCTTACGAAACGTGGTTTAGTTACGAAAATTCATTCATGGGTTGAATAATGAATGATTGTGTCAAAACTTCAAAATCCTATCTTTAGAATTTTTAAAATAGCTATTTACACATCTGATAGTTTTACCAACTTACTCCAAAGCAAAATGCCACTTACAACAAGTTAAAATAAAGTATTGGATACCAAAAGTTTTCAAATGTTTCATCTGTGCAGAACGCATGGAATTTGAATGCAACCTTGACTTATTTGTAATAGATTTATATAATCTCTTTTCAATACCGTATTGGAGATAACTATATGGTGCATTTATGAGTGTACTTTCAAATACACACGATTAAACATCGATACATTTAAGAGATATATTTATATTTAGTCATTAATTTTCGTTTACTTTGTTTCAGTATGTCACAGAAAAAATGGGCGGTGCGGAAGGCACCAAATTGGATTTGGATTTTATGGACATGGAAAGGGTGAGTTCTTTCGTAGCTTCTATTACTTAACTTTTTTGATTCAATTAATATTTGAAAAAATGATTTCGTGATTTTGAAAAATGAAATCTAAATATAATAATTAACATATATTATACATTATTGCAACCATGTTCTGATCGTTTCTAGAAAATAATTTTACATTACGACAAATGTAAATATTTAAATATCTCAAATATAATTGCATACATTTTAAATAATTATTTTCGCCTAGAAAACGGACGTCACAGTTGAATTAGTTGAAGAGCTTCAGCTAAAAACCAAAGAATATTTACAACCAAATCCAAATGCTAGAGCGAAAATGGCAGCTGTTAAGGGCATTTCAAAATTGTCAGGGCAGGCAAAAACAAATACGTATCCCCAACCAGAAGGCGTGTTGGGAGATTGCATGTTGACATATGGAAAGAAACTTGGCGATGATACAGTTTTTGGTAAGAAACACATATGTTGGAAATATTATGGAATAAATTGAAACTTTAAGCACCCCTAAGGAAAAATTTACTGTACGTAGAACGCTTTAGATCGTTTTTTATAGAAATATACTTTTGGCTTCAGATAGTTGAATCATATCTTATTTTTACCAGTAATAACTTTTTTAGCAAAGCGATTCGATAATGCCATAATGGAGATATTGATCAGTAGAATTAATAGACATGGGAATAATAATATTTACTGTAACTAGTTCAAGAAAATATTATAGAAATTCGATAATGCGATAATGATGAGAAGTAAACGTGATTTTTATATTATTTTTCTTAGTTGGATAATCATCATTACTGTATTTATCTGTTTGCTACAATATATTGGTTCCATAAACAGATTTAATCAAGCTTACTGCATAAATTCTTATCTTTTTTCAGTCCAGCTTTTTAAAAACATTATGTAGCTTTAAAATTAATTTTTAAATATACATCCTTTTTGAAAGCTTCGAGACAATGACTGGCAACTTTTTTTTGAACCCCATGTTTGCTTCGTTAAAAATTATTTTATAATTTCCATTTTATGAATAATGTTCACTTAAATACCTACAAATTTTTGCGTAAATATTATTAATATATATTAAATATTATTTAATCTATTTCCAGCATTGGCGCTCATTGAAATGGGTGAAGCCCTCAAACAGATGGCAGACGTTAAATATTCACTTGACGATAATATTAAACAAAATTTCCTAGAACCTTTACATCACTTACAAACCAAAGATCTTAAAGAGGTTATGGTATGTACCCATTATAGTAATGTATATGTCGTGTTTTTAATTTCATTAAATCATTTTCTCTTATATTTTTTATATTAAAAATATAGCATCACAGGAAAAAACTACAAGGTCGGAGACTAGATTTTGATTGCAAAAGGAGAAGGCAAGCTAAAGGTAATAATCTAACTTTTTCTATTATTAGTTTAATTTATTAGTGTTAAACCCTTAATACTTACCTAATACACTAATTTAAACCAATTTTTACCACTCAGTTACTTTATTTTTTATACATTTTTGCTACTGATTTTTTTCGTCACTTCAATATTTTTGTTATTTTTAAGGAAACATTTGAATCACGTTTATTTTCAATAGATATTTTTGTGATTTGACGATTATTTAATAGAAATGTTCATTATACTGGCTGAGGTTTTTATTTTAATTTTATAGCTGATTAAACAACTTTAATAATATTTTTAACAATCTAGCGCGAAGTCCTTATTCGAGTCCTTCTAGAAGTGGGCATGCCGCAAATGGTATGTCCGAGATTATCGTAATTGATTCAATAAATATCTTCTTGAAACATGATTTGAATTTAAACGAATTTAGGAATATTTTTGTAGTCTGAGCCTTGATTTTTTATGGAAACTTGAGTGTAGTTAGCAATTTATATATGATATTCCAAAAAATATTTTTGCAGAAAATATGTTGAAAGCTTTTTTTTAGGTTCGACCATTTTACAGTAGCATTAAATAGTCTTTGGTATGATGCAAACTACTTCTTACAATTACGGTTTTATAATGAAGACATGAAGTATACGCCATGTGTACTTAGCGATTTATAAATTTATCAAGACGTCTTTTTTTTATTTTAAATTAAAATTTTTGTGAAACTAAAGATGCCGCCGTATACATTAAGTTCAATGTTTATATATTTATAAAGACATACATATTTCATTGTTAGTTTATTTACTGTTTCATGTTTTAATAAATCATTCTTTCATATTTCTTGCTTTACTTTTGGTATGTAAGGTTAAGTTTTATGAACATACCCGCAATGGTAATATTTTGAATTTTGCTATACATTATTTTCGAAGTTTGAAGACCGTGGACTTATATAGGAAATATTTCCTTCTATGAATTATTTGAGGTGATTTTAAATGCATTGAAGTATGCTAAATTTATAACTGCTGATATTAGATTTTAGTATTTAAAAATTGTAGAATGACATTTTAACATTACAAAACATGCAGTAGTTTTTTGCTTTTAAAATTGGATGCTTTACTGAGTTTGAAATTACAATTTATGTTTATTTGCTTTGTAAAATATTTTGGATGTTTACCTTTATTTTGCAGACAGCTTGTATCACTATTTTATAATTGATAGACACATGTTATGTTTTGTTTTCATTTTTGTAATTAATTCATTTATTGATAGTGAATGCTGATATGGTTATTTTTCTTTATTTTTTTCATGTATCTTGATTTAATTTATGATATGCCAATGGACATGCTGCTTTGTTTTCACACATGACACTTTGACATGCCTGGTCCATAAATGTCGTCAACACAGGATCTCATATTACAGATGATGAAATTCGCCAAGCGGAGGATAAATTTGCGGAGTCCTTGCACCTTGCGCAAGTTGGAATGTTCAATCTACTTGAAAACGATGTAAGTTTTTGCTATTCGGTACTCAAATTGTAATGTAAACAATAATCACCTTCAATAATTATTATTTTTCTAAAATTTAAAATTGTATCAATATTACTGCTTAAAGCATTATTGAAATAGATTCCAATGAATCCCACGTTGTATCGTGTATAATCGCAAATGATTAAAAAAATATATTTAATATTATCCAGGTAGAACAAGTTTCACAATTAGCAACGTTTGCCGAAGGACTTTTGGACTACCATCAGCAGTGCACAGAGATATTAAAGAACTTAACAGAAACTCTTCTAGAAAAGTATGTAAAATGTTTCTTTTTTCTTGTAGTTCAACTCGAACATTGTTATATTTAAAATAACTGGGAAATTGGTATTTATATATTTTAAGAATAGTTAGATTACACTTTTGTATTTTATTTTTCATGACGTTTTCAAACATTAAATTTGTTCATTTGGCGGCAAATTTGTTCAATATTGTTGGAAAAACATACCACCTAAAGTTGTTAATATTATAAGGGCGTTAATATCATAATAGTGGCTGAAATAGTAGAATTCCCTCTATACCTAACACTGTGAGTTTGTTACAAACATGAAAGGTTTATTATTTTAATATTGATTGGGCTCGTTACCAGCAATGTACTTTTTTTAATGAGTTGAACAAAAGAATTAATCTCTGACGATAACTGTTTTAATACGAGTTCCTCATAACTAGCTAGTACATGAATGACACACTGTGTTCGAAGTAAAATTATTTTACCTTCTAGAAAGATACACAATATTTCGTTAAATATACATTGATGTTCACAGATCTTTTCTTTTCACTAAACTACATAGAAATTATATACAGAAATACAAAAAATAATCCGAACCACTTGTATAAATATGCATAGGCTGCTTATTTTGCAGCCTATATAATGGCCTATATATTATCTAACATCACATAACTGGGTACATAATTAACCACTTAATGCACCAATTTAAAAAAAAATATTGGAAAAAACTAATCATATTTTTCTTATTATTACAATGTATTTAAAATGCTATTACTATACATAAAAGATTTAAAAAAAGTGTAGCTTAGTTTATAATAACAAATGAAGGAATCGATGTAAATGTAATTATATTTAAAGTATTGAAGTTAATGAAACTTGTTTACATTAATATATATAGTAAAATAAATTACATTTTTTATACATTTCTTTTGGTGATCTGATCGTCCAACAAGTTCCGATCAGTTTAAAAATTCCTATGACCGAACTAACTGAGCACGGCCGTAAGCATTAAGTGGTTAATGCTACGAAATTTGCCTACTGTCAGAATGTAATTTTATATTATAAATAGGTATGTCAGATTCATTCAAAAATGAATCTTTCTTTTTTTCAGAAAAGAGGAAGCAGCAAGCCGACCGAAGATGGAGTTTGTGCCGAAAACTCTAGCGGATTTGCATATCGAAGGCGTTTTAGAAGGTGGAGTAAATGGTGGGAGACACACGCCCTCCTCCGGTTCCCTTTCTAATCCCTACGGCTCATCTAATAATATTTCATTGTTCAATAGCACACAAAATAATCAAAACAATAGCAGTCAGAGATTTACGTCTTCCTCGAGTAATATTTCTAATCAGAATAACATAAGAAATACACAAATGACGACAGGATCTCATAGGATAATTGGTTTCAATCCTAGTATCATTAATAATTCCAATAGCAACGGTAGTAATGGCTTTTCAAACAATAAGAATAATTATAACAACTCGACAAATAATGATTTAATGAATGGATGGGACGCATTTCAAATGCCACCGCCATACCAGGCTAAGAATAAAAATAATGTTCATGATCCATGGACGACAGGTTTGTTTATTTTTAGTTGTTTTAATTTATTTTTATTTGAGTTTAGTTTTTAATTTTATTTTTGAACCAACGGTTACATTTATGATGAATAGAACATATATTATTGGGCATCTAATCGGCCATATCTATTTTTTTTTAAATTAATTTATTATACTGATATAATTTTATCAATTTTGATATTCCGTTTTATTAATGCTATTCTAAATTTATTTGACAAATCATTTTGAAAATAATTGATTTTATAATTAATCAATTCACATGTTTTAGTTTAATATTTATTATATTTTATAGTTAATCATTTTTACTTTCAAAACTCAAAATTGACTAACAATTTGGATTTAATCAGTTATTTTTTATTTTGTTTTATTCATCATATTGTCAGGTTTATTGTGTGTTTAATATAATTTATTTTAATTGTGTTTGAATGGTCTATGTAGTAGTATCTGTATATATCCTACTGATTGTAAAATTCAAATTTGTGGATATCACAGTTTCCATATATATCCCTGCACTTTGATAGTATTGCTATAAGATTTTATAAATATACTTTTATAGCAATGTGGATATTTTGTCACCAAAACTGCTTTATTTATACTGCGAAACAGGAAGTTTTATTGTTAATGCTGTCCGGAACAGTTTTGTACATACAAAAATCAATCATTGCCCAAATTATTTAAAATTTGGCGAAGAAACAAGATAAAACAGAAATAAGTTAGTAATTTACATAAGTGTACTTAAAAGTTGAACGACAAATTTAACAGCAATGCACATTTCTTTTTAATTACGAATGTAGACGAATATAATTTTTCATGAGAAATAGTAAAACTTGAACTTTTTGAAAGTGTGGCGGTTTCTGATGTTGAGGAATTTTTAAAGCATTGTTTGATTTAGTTTCTCAAATCTTTTCAGCATAATGCATATAGCAGAAACGCAATTTACTCGATGTGTAAAAAAATTATTGAATTTATAAAGCAATCATTGTATGATATATGTGTGAGATTAATGATTACTACTTATTTCTCATTTATTTTTGCTTATTTTTTGGAAATCTTGTAGTTTTATTTTATATTTTACAAAGCTTTGTTTGAGGTTGGTGATTTGTTCTGTTTTGTTTTATCAATAGAGGGATTCATGAACACTATTTTTAAAAAATCTTATCATTAAAGCACTTTTGCTATTTGGCTTATTCAAAATACAAGCGCTTGTTAAACATTATTAAAACATAGCAGAAAATGTTAAACTTAATAATAAACAATATAAATGAATTTATATTTTAACTCGATAACCTTTACTTTGATAAACTAATGACTAACTAATGATATTTATTCATATTTCATAAACCAGAATTTTTTTCGTGTATAATAAAATTGATTACATTATCATCGACAATAAGATTTTCACATTTAATATTAGTTTTATTCCAAAAAGTATCATTACTTGTTGTGTTGTTGAGTTTGTCTTGTTAGTCCAGAATTTAAATGTACTATTTGAATGATTATAAGACAGTTGAACGAATTTAATTTGAAACCTGAAAGGGACATATGGTTTGTGGTAATATTTCTAGTTTTTATTTTTCGGTACATTAAAGTAACGTAAGAAAATGTATTGCAATACTTTTTCTTATGCTTTTAAGCCTTACGTATTACGTGATTATCAAATGTCATTTAAAATTGGAAGTAATTCTCTACCATATACCAGATATTAAAATAGATAATTTTTTCTTTCACTCTAACACTGAGCAAAATTTTAAGCACTATTGCAGGTTTACGAACATAATTAAAATTTTAGTACTCTAATCGCAGGCGATCTGCGTGTATGAGTGTCAATATAGACATATTACGTCACTCAATAAGTCCGTAGGATAACACATAGATGATGTAGCTATGTAATCTTCCATATGATTTGTAGAAAGTAACAGCTTCAAGAAGATATATGTCTAAATTTCATGACAATCCGACGATTACTTTACAAGTTACAGAGGTTCAAGTGACGCTACTTTTGAGTTTTTCGGAACCATGAATTTAAAGCAATTTCGTGGGATGATTTATCATTGCTTTTCGATGGGTAAAAATACTATTGCTGCCAAAGTATCGCTTGATAAGTGTTATCTGTGCTTGCGCAAAACTGACTGCGCCAAATCGAGGCAAATGGTGGAGAACTCACATTTGACCAATAGCATAGCGAATTGATGATTCGTAAGAATATTTGGAGCTACTTAATCGAAATAAAACTGATTTTTTGCATCAATATGTCACCATGGATATCACCTGGCTTCACCACTGAACTCCGGAGTTGAATAGACAGTCAGCTATGCGGACTAGAGACAATGACGAGAAGAAATGCAAACAAGCATCTGGCAAGGGTATGGCGTCAATTTTTTGGTATTTGCAATAAATGATCTTCATCAAATATCTTGAGGAAGACCAAACCATCAATAGTGACTATTGTACAAAGTTATTGGAACATTTGAAGATCAAAATCGGAAAAACGGCTCCATTTGAAAAAGAAAACCGTGCTGCTTTATCGGGACATCGCACCACGTCACAAATCCGTGAAAACAGTGGCAAAAAACACGAATTGGGCTCTGAACTGTTTTCCCACTCATTATATTATCTAGAACTGTTTCCCAGAGACCATATACCATTCACAGATCTCAAAAGAGAGATCTCGCTGTGGAAGTTTGTGGTAAAGAACAAATCGTACTACAAAAATGGTTTCTGAAAGTTTGAAGTTCGCTATAATCGGTATATCGTCTTCGAAGAAAACTATATTGAATAAAAAAAAGAATTTTGCCAAAAAATTTGGTTTTTCTTAGTTATCCTACGGACTTATTGAGTGAAGTGATATCTAGTTGAGAATAAATAAATAATTGAGAATACTGACTTAATATTGAAAATTTTAATCATTTAGAAGTGTTATTTTTTATTTTAAGATATTCCTATTGATAATCATTGGAAAATTTTAATATATGCCGTGCAATAAATACTTGGGCGGCTTGCCGGCTCGTACAGCAGTGTCACTGCTACGGAAAACCGAGCCGTTGCGAAAGGATTAAAAGAAAGTAACCTGCAACTACGACGACATAAAATAAAACGTAGTAGATAGGATCTTTTTATAATTTTTAAAAACTAAAAGTACCTACATACTTTTGATGCGATGAGCTTTCTCTGGTGCTAGTTCAGTGTTTTAAGAGAAAAAAATTTAAAGCTAAACTTGTTTCCATACACTTCGAAACTTACAAACCACTGAAAGATGATTATTTATTACAATGAAAAGTTAAGCTAAATAAAAATTTATAATTAATGCGTAATCGAATTCGATATCAATTAGTAAATGAAATTTATTTTAATTACGGTATTACACAGGCGGCTCGTCCAATGCCGGATCGCCGGTGAATAAGCCAAACACGTTGGAATTATTCCCAGGGAACGGGCAGGCTCCAAAGTCTGCAAATGGTAAACATTCCTTTAGTAAAATAAATGTGCACTTTTTTCCTTAAGCATGTGGGGTATTAGTTTAATTTTTGCAGCATGTTTTTTGTGCTACTGTAAATATATTCGCATGGATCGGACCAAATAATATATCAGTAATTATCTGAATTTGCTAGTTACTTATTTGTTTCCTCCCAGACACGTATGGTACTAATGCTTACTAATTTTAAATATAATTATAGTTATGCTTCTACATATTTTTAAAATTAGAAATGAGAAATTAGTACTGCTTTGAATATTTCATCCACAAAGGCAAATTATTAAATTAAATTATATTTATGCACGTTTCATATGTAAGTATTTGTATGAGTATGTATGTGTGTACGTGTTTATGTATATAACTGTTTCAATCATAGACCTTGCACTAACAATTAGTGTAAGGTCTATGGTTTCATTTGACAACTTTGTGAATATATTTGGGCTTCATGTTAGATCTGCTTTTGATATAAATAATGCTATTTTTATTTGAACATCTTTACTGGCAGAGTATATATGTAATATTAACCATGTAATAATTAGGCGTACATCAATAAAAACATGATATTTTAAATTATCTTTAAATAATTTAATAAATTTAAAAGAGGTGCGTGTAAGTTGCATAAATTTCCCGAAATATGTAAATAATCGACTTAATCAATGAGAATTGATATTTGATTGTGATGATAAACTTCGTAATTCGTAAGCCTGTGATATATCAGAGAGTTTTTTAAGAACAAATACTCTTATCATACAATGTTTTATCAAAATCATAAAAAAAATCAGCAGTTACAAAGAAATTGCCCGGCAGATCTTTACCGAAAACTAATCAGACGATTTTCAATTGATATTTTGCGAACAGTTTTTGAATTTATAGAATCTGTTCAGAGAAACGTGGACGAATAATTTTGCACTTATCTACTAATTGTGAAGAAATTGCTCATTTGACCGTCGCGAAAAACTAATCTAGATAAATAATTCTAGATCAAAATTCATCTAATGTCTTTTAATTTTTTTAAATCGATGCAGCGTTTTTTGAAAAAACGTCCAAAATTTTGGCTTTCACTCACACTTCTTGCAAGTTTTGTATCGAACACTTCAAAATGACTTGAAAAATTGTAGACACAGAAAATTAGCAAGTCGGATTTTCTGATAAAAACAAACTTGGTCTTTAAAACGTTTAAAAATAACATGTTTTTTTTTGTTAATATTGCACTTGATTTGTGGACGCTATTAATACATATATGTTACATTTGTCAGAACTATATCTTGAGATTTGTATGATCTTGATCTTGATATCTTAACAAACAATTGTTTGTTCGTTGTTGGTATGTATTCATAGTAAATATTTGCTGCCGTATGAAAAAACAAAAAAGAAATACATAAAAAATTCTTATCGTTAGTAGTAACGTAAAACAAAGCTTCTAATTGAACATGTAATATTTCAATTAAGAGCAATTATATGTTCAATAACATTTTACAAAACGAATTTATATATGTATATAAAGGTATATAATAATTTTTCAGATGGTGATAAATGTGTTATTAAGCACAATACTACTTCTTAACAGGCATTCATCCAGACAATAAAATAGGAAGAAAACTACAATATGTTTCTTAAAGTAATTTTAATGGTTCCATACGTTTCTAATCCCAATTTGACTCTCCTTCAGTGGTTTTATTCTTTGATAAATTTTCATTTTTTATGCCACTTTTTGCAGTCGTTGTTCACTGAGGAAAAGTCAAATTGGAACTCGAAACGTATGGATCGATTAAAATTAGTTTAAAACACATTTCAGTTTTCTTTCTATTTTAGTATCTGGATGAATGCTTGTTGAGAAGTATTTTATTTAATCAACATCTATATATAGATATATGTGTGTGAATGAATATAAAATTATTAATAGAACTTTCGCTGCTTACCTGCTTTGCTTATATTAAGTTTATTTGCTTAGACGATATGTATATATTATATAATAATTGAAAAGTAACAAGTAGCAGTTTACTTATAGATTTTGTTTTTTTAGCTTCGCCGCTACCGTCTCCAATGAGGTCTCCAGCTAAAACGCCGCAAGTTAAAAAGCAGCCATGCTGTACTGCTTTATATGATTTCGAACCTGAAAATCCAGGAGAACTTGGTTTTAAGGTAAGGATTTATTACCGCTCTTTTATTAATTTGGTCTTTCAAAAGCATGTTCGTTCTTATAAACAAGAGTATTATCACCAAGCGTTTTTTTTTTTCTTTTTTTACAAGTGTAATATTTTGAATTATGTTTGAATTAGCGAAAACTGATTTCAGAATTTTAATAAAAATTAATATTTTGTGTAATATGTTCTGAGCATTAAATTTATATCTACTAATTTCAATGTTCACCATTCAATTACTTATTTCTTAAACTAGTAGTGTATGGCATTGTGCCGTAAGGCAAATTACTGGAATTTCTTGTACCGTAATGAAATAATTAGGGAATATTACAATTTCTTGCACCGTAATGAAATAATTAGGGAATATTAAATGCTTTCAAATATTTTATTATAAATACTGTAACTTTCATTATTATTATTTCATAGACAAAATATAAGAGCTTATAAATCGCACGACAACTTTTATATATATTTACACGAAAAAACACGAGAATTTGATCAAACGGATTTAAAATGAAGGAACTTATCTCTGTGAATTGTGAAGTTAAAATTATTTATTTCAAGTATATAAGTGAGCTTTAGAATTTTTGCTTGAACTAAAATTAAAATCCGAATCATTTAAGACAAGTTTTTTGGAAATCGAAAAAAAAATATTTTCAAATTTTGAAATAAAAAAATAACCTTCCCCAAAAACTAATGGTTTCTTCACAAGCAAAATGTTTTTTGAATCATTCGAATCGGATGCTTTGTTCTATCAAAAATTGCCATTTTCGAATCTTTTAGCTCCTTATCTCCATAACGACTGGGTCTGTTTTCGCCAAAAACTAACCCTACGTCTTCTAATTATTATGAATTGGATGTTTTTTTAATCATTCAAATCGGATGCTCTGTTCTCTCAAAAACTTAATTTCCAATTCCTGCACTCTTTACTTCGTATCTCCGAAACGGCTGGACCGACCTCTCCCAAAAACTAATCAGCACCAATCCTTATAAGCAGGAATATTTTCATTTCATTTTTTTTCCAATTTTTTTTTTTTTTTGAATTCAGATTTCAATTTTAATTCTGATTAAAGTTCTAAAGCTTACTTATATACTTTAAAAGAATAATTTTAACTTTGTGATTCAGTTTATTTGATTCTTATAAATATTATCCGAAATTACAGAATTTATAATAATCTATTTGAAAACATTTAATATTCCTCGAACATTTCGTTTCGTTCTTTTGACTTAAGGCACGATGCCATAAACCACTAGTTTAATTATACCTTTGAAACGTAAGGGTATGCAAAAATTTTCTTTGGACGGTTACTATAACTTACTCTACAGTAAGTTAAAAAAGTAAAAAAAAAATCATTTTAATAAGTTGTCGATTTAATTAGGGTCTTATGCTGCAGACTGAAAAGCGTAACTATAGGGTGGCAAAGTTTGCAAAATGCCACGGGCCCACGATTATAGAAGCCGCGACTACAGAAATATTTGCAAATTATCTGAAAATTTTATTTTTTAAAGTTCTGTTTAAAATGCAAAGTGAGATAGCTAAAGACTGTAATACAATTTCAAGTTAATCGTTATACATTTCGAATAATTTTGAACTAAAAGACGATGATACATTACGAAATTAAGGATTCGATATGTTTTTAGGGTTCGCAGTCATTAGCGTATTCTTGGTGTGATTATTTGTATCTTTTATTTTTTCGTTACCACAACATATCATATTAGTGATAAAAATTAAAATAAGAGAGTTATAATTTAGTGTATAATATAGTATCTTCGCCATATGTAAGAGATAAAGGTAAATTTAAAGAGCTAGCTGATGATTAATTGGAAAGGTACGTGATTGAAAATGGGCATTGGAAAACTGAGGGTGCTTTCTTAGAAGGTAGTTACAATAAATCTTTTTTTAAAAGAAAAAACATGACTGTACTGTTTCCAAGGCTGGCGTGAAATCTTGAGCGTACATAGCTATTCTATTCTTTAAATCTTCAATAGGCATATAATAGTGAACAATGCAGATTATTCGCGTTTCGAGCATCTAGGAAAATATAAAACATTTAGATCAGTTGGGCATTTGGACTAGATATCTAGTTCAAAATGAACTAATTTTTATTCTAGTTCAAAAAATAGAATATGCAGTAATAAATAAATTAAATGCTTCACCATTCTACTCTTTCGGTTTTCTGAAGACCAAAAAGAGTTAACGAAAACAAATCCGGAAATTAGATGAAGATGATGTAAAATTGAAGCTACTTCTCTCAATAAGAAGATAGAAAACTATATTTTTCTCTGTTATTGGTTTTATATTGCAATATATTGTCAACTAGGAATACAACCTTCAAGCACAAGAATTAGAAAGATATCAGTATGAATATGAAAATTCGTAATAGAAATCAAATAGTGTTTAAGAAAATTGATCTATCACCTTTGAATGTTCTAAAACTTATTTGAGAAAGAAAAAATACAATTTTGACGAGGAAATATTTTATCAAGTATTTTGCATCATTATTATAAATATTAGCAATATCAGCCGATATTGATCCACTTTCAGAAAACAAGTAGAAGATTATTCGTGTATTAAAGGCCTTGCTCATTTATTATATTTAGAGTTAGTATGAGTACTTGAAAGGTCCCATTAAAAGAATTTAATTAGCAGTACCAGTAAATTTGATAACCAGTTACCATTATATAATTGGAGTATATATTTATATAAGAATGTTATTTTAGGAAAACGATGTAATAATGCTGTTGAACAAAGTCGATGAGAACTGGTTTGAAGGCTCTGTGAATGGACGCACTGGCTACTTTCCTGTTACGTATGTACAAGTTACGGTTCCTCTGCCATAAAATGTTTAATATTTGATTTTCGTAACACGAAGATAAAAAGTACTTGAAACCATCTTGAAAGAAATTGCAAGCAAATGCAAGTGTTATTTAGTAGTAATATTGGAGCAGATATTGTTTTACCTGTTATCTATATGATTACTGTCAGCATCGTTTTCAGTCATGTAAAAAAAATATTATGAAGCATAATGTAACAAAGTCTAATTAAGTTATTTTAGAATCTTTTAATTGTGAACAAATATTTATAAACGCATTTTAAGTCATTTATTTTGTAATATAAGCATATATTGCATAGTTTTTGATTGTGAAATAATATAATGTTCACGTTTTCTAGATTGCTACTAAAACTGAATTTATTTTATAAATGCCGCAAACGAGTGCATGTATGTTAAGTGCCATTTATTTTATTATTGGTATTAAAATATTAAAAAATTATTTAATGAATTATGAGCTATAAATGTACAGTAATAGTATTAATTTTATTTTAACTATAGTAAATGTGTAAAATAATATTAAAGTAACAACGTTTAAAGTAAATATATCAGCAATTTTACTTTGTATATTAAAAAAAATAAGTGCATCAATAATTATTCCAATTTGAATTATATATTTTTTTCATTCATCGCAATTATTTTAATAAGTACGTAATATTAAGTTCATTTCAATTAACAGGCAATTATATTATAATTGCCAATAATTTTGAAATTAACCTTTTTTATAAGTCAAAATATCTGTGTCAAAGCTAAAGCTTAAACTGCTATCTATACATTCATTCAAAAAATTAGTCTTTACATGTATGTAATATATTTAAATCTATAATAGTGTGTAATTTACTCAAACTATTGTATGTATATATGTACTTTTTGAATTAATATTAATTCTACTGTTTTGATAGCATTAATTTAAATAATACTCAATTGCGTAACTGAATGAAGAGTTTCAATAATTCAATTAATAAAATATTTGAAAATATATATTAATAAAAATATTTATCGTGTTATACTATGTATACTGTTGTTAAATAATAAATTATGAAAAAAATTAAAAATATATATTCTGGTTTTCTCAGATATATGTTGTAGATAAAATGTCACGAAATATAACCATGTTAATCATTGATATTGAAATTGAAGTAATTTACAATTTTATTTAAAATTATATTTTTTATCTTTTTTGATATTCATATTGTAATGGTCTTTGCTGACTATTATTAACACAACATATATATATATATATATATATATATATATATATATACAAATATTCACAAAAATCGAATATTTTGTAAACTTTTGCTATTTTGAGTACTAAATTTTCAGTATTCTCTATGCTAACCACACAATAACTATAAATAATAATGTAAAACTGTCTTAATCCTGTATTATATTTTCTAGTTTCTTGTAAACCTTAGTTTAAAGAAAATCATGTGAACCGTTAAGTTTGTGATACCAAAGCTTAAATTAATTGAATAAGGTTAATTCTTATTTAACAAGCAAAGTGACATAATACCGATATCTAGTAATATTTGCAAGGTCTAATTCTAAAACAGTTGATACAGTTGTGATATATTTATTCTTAGAGTATGATATATCATTGCAAAGCTATTATATCATTAAGGAATGCTATGTACTCAAATCGCTGATTATTCATGGCATTTATGTTCAAAATAATTATGTAAATTTATGTAAAAATGGGTTTATCTAGCAGTCAGAAAAATTCAAGTATGTGAATTTGTTGGTTTGCAAAATGTATGTTGTAATGTGGATAATTCTGCATGTGCTTTTTAAAATAATTACTCGATATATCTACAAAAAAATTTGGTGTGTGTAGTGAAATTTGGGTCTAAAATGTATTATTCAAATTTATAGAGTATTTTGATCTGCCATTTAATACCACAATGCATAATCAACAATATTTAAATTAGGACTCAATTTCTCTACACGTTTACTATAAAGTTTGCCAGAAGTAATTAAAGTAGATATATGAAAAGACAATACATAGAATTTAAATGATACTAAAACATTAATATTCAATTAAGTAATAAATGTTATGCAAATTTGAAATTTTCTATAAATGTGTATATGGGTAATGTGTTACACTAAAATCCTTAATTTCAATAATTATGCTCTTTTCCGTTCTTATTGTACTGTAATACCTACAGAAGATACTTATTATTTTTCAGTATTTGTTTTAAGTGCATTGCTAATTTGGTTACACTATGAATTGATGATTTTGAGTATGGGTTAGAATTGTAATTGATACTGTAACTGTTAAACAATTATATGCATACATTTGGTAATAATACAATGACGATAGTTATATAATTGAATTTAATATCATTTTATTGTTCAATTTTTTACAAATTATTTTTTCATAACATTAATTTCATTGTGAAATATATTGTTTGTTAATTGAAAATCATTTGTATCTTTTTATTTTATGTATTAATCATTAATCATCGATCAATAATCATGTTGCAAAAACATTTTTAACAATAAACTAAAATATCTATTCAAGAGCTCATTAATCAGAATTCTCAAAAGATATGCTCGTACTGGGTGGAAAAGGTAAAAAATATAAAAGTTTTTACTTATTATGTATGTGTGTAAATATTTTTTGGCGCATTCAGTGTCATAATATTTCGTGACAAAACTTAAATAAAATACTTATAAATGTTCATTTAAATAATATAGGCTTGCAACGAATAGTATATCCGCAAAATACGGAATATTCGGTAACTATTTGGCAGGTTTTTAACGCCTACACTCGTTCTTTTCAATGCAACTCTATTGAAGATTGTTAAATTACAAACTCACTATATGTTTCATTCAAGTTTTATGTCTGGAGTCGCAACGATTATTCGGTTACTCTTTATTTGGCCGAAAACCGCGCGAATGCTTAAATAATTTTATGAGCATTTTTATTATAATCATTTTATACATTTAATTTATTTTATACATTAGAAAACTTGAGAATTAGAAAAAAAGAAGAAATATAGATTACAAACTGGGATTGCAAACTAAATTTTCTGCAATCAATCGAAATTGGGATTTAGATATTTAGATAAATTTCTTACTTGTTTATTTCGAAAATAAATTGCTCTCACTTAAATCTAAACATTTCGATTTCCAATAGAATTTTTTCAAACACATTTAAATTATCTGCAAATATATTAATAATTATATTGCACAGAAATTGTAGTTATTCCACATTCTAATGAATTGATAATGTTTGACTCATCACATCACAAAAGCAACTTATGACACAAATTTTGACTGATATTTTTTCAAACTTTGATGATGAGTTTTTAAAATAAACGACTTGTCGTAAGACCGTAATATCTCAGTATGGTCTATAAGACCATGATATCTATCATGACACTGTATTTTAAGTTTTAAAAAAAGTGTCATTATTATTATAGACTTGAAACAGAAGTGCAATATCTTATTATTTTTCATGGTTATTTTTGTTTTTGTGATAATCATAAATGTGATGTCAAATAATTGTACGCACATTCTAATACCTTATAGTAATACTGTTATTATTTTTAATATAAGGACAGCAAATTGTAGGTATTTTGGATTAGCTTTTTTCCCCCCTAAATTCAACATACATATCAAATACTTTTTTAGGGTATTTTTATTTTATGGTATTCTATCAGTATGGATATCAATTATACATTTTTTCTGATGTAATGCTTGATGTTTAAACTCTTTGATGGTTTATTTTAGATGGTTTCACTGTAAAGTATGTTGAAAAGTAATATATTTTTTGTAATAAGCATTATAAATACTCGTTCTTCCTTTGAAATAAAATAGAAAATGTGGCACAATCAGATCTTTTATATTCAATATAAAAGATCTGATTGCGCCACATTTTCTATTTTATTTCAAAGATTCCAGATTCATGCAAAAAATAAGAAAAGGTTTAAGTCAATAAGTGTTCTGTATTTATATATATATATATTAACATCAAAGTTAAATAACCTAAACAAATATATATATATATATATATATATATATATATTACAAATAATGTTTAATTTATTTCAAATTACACACATATATATACATACATATATGTATGTATTTTGGAAAATAAAATTGTTAAAGTTTCTATTTCTCATTCTCTAATTTCGAGCATGCCATTTTATTAAAGTCTAATTGGAATATATCTAACAATGCAGGGTTCAAATTTTCTTTGGCCTTTTCACAGATTTGAGGTATTTGTGAAGCATCGCCATGCTCCATCTCAAACTTAATAAAATCTATCCAAACATCTTTATTATTTTTGCCAAACAAATATGCAGCATTTGAATAACTATCTCTCCAATTTTTGAAATCAGGCTCAGACTGCAAAGATTCTAAAAATGCCATTTTTCTATGCAACTCCAAGCAAAAGGGAGGTAGTGTGGCCATTGCTCTATATGCATTTCGAGCCCAAACTATATTTCTGGTTACAGTTAACCATTCTAAATATCTAGGTTTTATAAACTCTGAAATTGCTGCTGGCTGTTTCAAAGCCTCTATGTATAGAATTCTCAATTTATCATTACAGTCCAGGTCTATTAAATAATACATTATCATTATTTTCCAAATTGCTAAAGAATTTTCTCCTAGTGCTGCGACTGCTTGGTCAAAAACTTGTTTAACCATTGCAGAGTCACTGTGTTTTATATGAAATCGTAAAGAAGCCTTCCAGAGATCTAAAGAGTCTTCATTTTTGGAAGTTACTTCATTCATAATTTTTAATATTTTTTCTTCGTTGCCAATTTGGGAACTTAGAATATCAAACCATTGTAGGTAATGCCTTACACTTAACATATTTGCTTTATAACCATCTTCCAGTGCTATTTCTAAAGCCTTTCTCTCATCTACTATAAATATGTCTTTATCTTCATTTAACTCTATTAGGGTATCAATATAATAACACCACATTTTTTCTGTAGGTAACTCTTTAACTGCATCTTTGTACATAGAAATGCATAATTCAAATCTTTCGGTAGAGTTTAATTGATTTGAATTTCTATTGAGTAGAGCTTTTTGTGCAATAGTATGAAAAACAATTTCATCTTTAGGAAACATGGCTTTTAAATCATTAATTATCTTTTTCTCCAAATTCTCAACAAAATTATAGCGCTCACAAATTTTAAGCAAACCTATAAGAAAATGAACATCCTTTACATTTTTCAAAGCTGAATCGTATGTTATTTCAGCTTGAGTAATGTCTGGTACATTTTTATCTCGTGCTTGTAATAGCGATATATTAAAAGCTTCAGTATGCAACAGAACGTCATTTGTGTGATGTACTAAACCCCGAACTAAATAAGCAAGGGCATTTTCCAATGATCTATTTTTCTCTTTTTCCCACTTAGCTGCCATAAGCCATAGCTGAGGTTTACCAGAATGTATTTGTAACATTTTACCAAATGCTTTAGAAATTGAATCATTAAATCCAGCAGTTGTACAAAATTGAATGTATGATGTCCATAAATAAACATCACTGGCAAAAGAATTGAGTGCATTTTTGTACAAGCTATCTATATGTCGTGCTAAAGGAAAATCAATTTTGTCTACGTCTTTCTTCATATTGTATTGCTCTCGTCGTTTTTTGAGTTCTCGAAAAAGATTTGTTTCCAAAGTTATGAGATTCACATAGTCAGTTTTAGATTTAGTATGCTTTTTTAATTGATTTTCAAAATTTTTGCGTCTTCTAATCAGCAACTCAACTTCATCCTTAGTAAAAAGATTATATCGTAGCATCAGTTTCATTTCCGTAATCATGCTCTCGACATGACTGTCGACAAAGTCGTTCATTTTAATTGCTTTTAATTTTTAATCGTAATTACAAGCAACACGTTCAATTACAGTTCTAACTATAAACTATAGGTTAATCAACAAAATTACGGGTTAGTACAACTTGTGTTTAAATTTCAATTTAATGATTATTGTTATGACTATTGAAAATCCAGAATATCTTGTCAATAAATTTAAACTTTCAAATTATTTACATATCAACGTTATTATCTATTATTTATGTCATTTTTGTTTACTTTCTACATTACAAAATGTTGAAAACTGTCAAATGTTGAAATTTGTAGATTGAAGATGCAGATTGCCAACAAGAGAATTCTCAATGGATATAACTTGTTACTCAGTGTTTTCGAAACTGTGGGACTCGCTCTTTGTCTGACAACTTTGTCTAAGGCAGCAAGATGACGAGTTCTTAATACTTTTCCAAACTATAAAATATTCATGACATTACAAATTTTACATAGCAAACTCAAAAAAGACATAATTCAAAGAAATTTTGAATTACAAAATTTGTTTCTTCGTCTGAAAAGAATAACTTTTTTGATAAAATCTTTTTTAGTGAAAAAGTGTTAGTGTACAATCAATCATAAAGGTAATTAATTCGTTTTTTTTTAGTAACCTTTTCTTAAAACTTTCTAAAACTTTCTAATTTTAACATTTTTAATATTTAGTTATATAATCCACTCATTTATTTTTATCATTTTATGTATGTATTTTCTATACATTATTTTTCCCACAATTTTATTTATTTTATATAAAAAATCTACCATCTTCTGCTTTCCTTAAACATATTGTTTGCTTAAATCTTACCAAATCTTAACAATTCTCTGAAAGTTTTTGCTCTTAATATTAACTTTTAGATAGTGCGCAATTCAATCAAACTTCATATGGAAATAGCATGGAAAACATTTTGAAAATTAAAAAAAAATTTTAGGTATAACTTAGCAACAAATTTTGAATAAAACTTATCCATTTGTTTGTTAAATTTTATCTAAAAATATTTTTAAAAATTTTTGAAAATTTTTTCATGCTATTTCCATACAAAACTTTGATTGAATTGCGCACTATCTAAAATACAATATTAAGAGCTAAAACTTTGAGAGAATTGTTTTTTATCAATTTGGAACCATTTGAGCCCTTGGGAGCAAGGAAATTCGAAAATGTCCATATTAAGGACCACCCTAATATATATATATATATATACATATATAATATATATATATATATATATATATAACTTTATTTTCATAAACTTAAGCCATCATTTTTCTTTTTTAACAAATAATTATATAATTTGCTGAAGGAAAACACGAGAACTTTGTTTTTGTCAGAAAATCCGATTTGAAACTTTTATATTTTTTTTACGTTTTAAGTCATTCTTCAAGTCATCATTGGATACAAAAATTGAAAAAGGTATTTATAGGCGTGTGTATAAGTACATGCCTAAAATGGTCATGAACCGAGTCGTTCTTTTACAATTAACAGATAAATACAAAATTTTACTTCCACGTTTTAGCCAAAAATCCTGAACCGATTTTGATAGTTCAAAAACTATTCGAATGATATCAGTTTCGAACCGTGCTGATTACATTTTTGAACTTTGTTTGATTATTCACGGTTTTAAAGATTATTCTAAAATGTTTTAACCTTGAAAAGTGTTTTGAATATAAAACTCCATCAAAGTTTGGGAAGTCGCGATCCACAACGGTTTGGTTTTTGGTCTTTGTTCAATTATAGAAACTGTGGTCTATATATAATATATTTTATTTATAATGAAATAGTAACAACACTATGTGCGATTAAATTTATTATTTATAAAATGTACATAATATTTGAGTATTGAAAAGGAGCCATTAATTTCTGCTAATCGGCCATTTAATTTTGACCGTACTTCAACTGTCAACAGTAGAATCGTACACCAACTGTCAACAAGTAGCATCAACTGTCAGCGTGTCAAATAATATGGCGGTTCTTTTCCGTTTGCGACGCGTCGGTGTGGTTTGTTCTCAAGTGAGGTGTTTCTTGTTTATTTATATTATACGTTTTTTTTAAATAATTTTTTCTTTCTATTTACATTTATATTTATTCTTTTACACTTTCTCGTTTATTATATTATTTCGTATATTCATGATTTAGATTAGTATACATTTTAGTGTAGTATCAATTCCATATATTTAGATTAGGTTAGGTTAGGTTAGCTTAAATTTTAGTGTTGTTTCAAATAGGTTCGATTTTTTTACGTTTTAGGCATATTTCATTACTTTTTATTATTATTCATACTTATTCACAGTTTTTTAAGACTATTTTCTTCCTTATTCACTAGGTTTAGGTTAGGTTAGGTTAGGCATCGATTTTAGGTTAGGTTAGGTTTGGTTTTTATCAAAATTTTAGTTTAGAATTATCTCTTATTATATTCTATAAATTTTTTATATTGATTTTTATATTACTTCGATTATTACGTAAGTTTGCGATATGGATTTTGAATTTTTTTGTCGAGAGTGCCAGATACCTTTCGCCACTCGCGGCTCTTTGCAACGGCACATGAGACAGAAACATGTTGGGAAGGAAAACCTGAACAGCCCAATATCTGCTCATTCTGCAATAAAACATTTACCCAGAAATCGTCGTTAACAAGGCATCTTAAACATATCCACAATACTTTCCCCACTGCTGCTAATGATGTTTCTTTGTTACCCTCTAATCCTCATGTCTCCACATCTTCGACATCACCCTCCAATATCAATTCACCAGCTCCATTTACCTTGGCTCCTCTTCAGGTTTCCTTAGTTCGTGACAAATCCTTTCCTTCACCCACGCATTCTACTTCAACATCCAATCAACAGATCTCCAAACCTTGGCCATCACTTTCCAATTACAATTCTTTGGCTCCGTCTACCTCAGCTCGTTACACATTATCTCCCAACCATCACATCAACAACATTATCTCCACAACCATCAACATCAACAACATTACCTCCCTACATGTCTTTATCTCCACAACATTCAACATTAACATCACCTCCCTGCATGTCATTATCTCCGCAACCTTCTACATCTTCAACCTCACCCCCCTACATGGCATTATCTCCACAACATTCACCATTAACATCACTTCCCTACGTATCACTATCTCCACCACCTGCTACATCATCCATCTCAACTCCCTACATGTCTTTATCTCCGCAACCTTCTACATCTTCAACCTCAGCTCCCTACATGTTTTTATCCTCACAACCTGGTACACCCTCCACTCATTTTCCTATTAATCCATCTTCAACTTCCAATTCTCCACTCAGCTCGAAAGAAAATTTTACAGGTATGTAGTGTTTTACGTATATTAATTATTTGCATTCTTTATGTGATCACTTATAAATTGTTCATCTAGGTACTCCTTCAAGAGCTAGTAGAATAAGATGTCCCTTTCCCGACTGCTCCTCCATTTTCTCCAGATACATAAGTCTTCATGGCCATATTGAATCCCACCACATGGTAGCTATAGATTATAAAGAGAGCGTATTTGAAACATTTTCAAGATATTTTTGTAGATATTTCAAAACATTTTGCCATTAATTTTGCTCGTCCTTTCTGCAGTGTTAAAGCAAGATACCGCAAAAACACATTCACTGTTCTTTTTTCTTCTTTTTATTTGAACCACGTTCTGATAAATCATCGCCATTTTTAGCAACTTTATATAGGTGTATCGAATTCTGTACAAATGGCTTCAACTTTTTCATATGTTAGCAGCAGCTGATTGCGACAATTCGGGATCATTTGGGTGGATCCAAAAGAGCGCAGCCTCGTAGCCCGACGCGTAACTTAGCACTCATGGCGTTTAACGTAATTTTTTCTCAAAAGATCAACTGCAACTAAACCTTTTTTGACAATGCATCAAGGACAAAACTTCATTTTATCGGCTCACGAAAGAATTAGACCGAAATCTTTCATTAACTGTCGTTAAAGTCGGCCACGCTCTTACTTGACTGACTGTACATGTCTATTTTCATATCTGTCTACCTATTTACGAATCATTCTATTTGCATATGAATCAATATAATAATGATTTGTAAAGATCATATTGTCAATATTTTCCGCATCTGCAAATGTTTAAAATTCCCGTCTACCTGTTTACATGCCCACTTGCCTACTTGTTCACCAGCTTACCCCTACCAATTAGTTTCAGCCTACCAGTCTATCTATCTACATATTTCCTTTTCTACTTTTTAATCTGATACTTATTTACATGTATATTTTATATCTGTCTACCTATTTACGAATCATTCTATTTGAATATGAATCAATATAATAATGATTTGTAAAGATCATATTTAACCAATAAATGTCAATATTTTTCCGCATCTGCAAATGTTTAAATATTTATTTTAAACATTCAAATCGGATGCTCAATTTTCTTAAAAACGGTCATTTTTGCTCTATATCTCACAAACGGGAGAGCCTGCTGAAAACTAATAATCGCCGTCAAGACGAATTGAATGCCTTCAATCTAATCAAATGCTGCTCCGTTCTCGCAAAAACTGAATTCCCATTTTCAACACTTTTTACGCGTATTGTATCTCCGAAACGGCTGGTCCTGTCTTTGCCAAAAACTAGTCTCCCCATCAATAGAAATCAAATGTTTTTTTTATATATTCAAATAGGTTGATTTTCATGCGCCCAAAATCATGGACAAAAAAATTGTATATCCATACAAAGCACAGACACACATGCCATACATCCATACATCCATTATTTCTATGGAATGCCAAAATGTTCAGAAACAAAGCAACGTGTCGCTCCTAGTGTATTCGAGTGAGAGAGAGGCGTAACGTAAAGTTATGGCGGTGCCAATGAAACAGATTCATCAAATAGCGATTGTAAAAAAGATTTTCGTCACATTTATCTATCATACAAATATAAAAAGTAAATTATTATTAAGTTAAAAAATTCAATTCATTAATTTTAATGTCTTCTTTTTTTGACTTTGTATACACGCAGCACATTAGTCATATACATTCTGTAAGTTAACTTTACAATTATATTTTATTAGATTGTATATAATTATATAGCGCACCATATTTTTTTTTTGTCACCAATGAGATTTTAATGTTATGCATTTGTTTTTGCAATGTGGAACAAAGGTGAAAAGTTTGTGGATAAAAATTACCCAAAAAAAAATGCAGCTGATCGAGCATCAGAGTTGAACTCATTTTCGCAATATTATAACAAATTGAAAAAAAAAAGCTCATTGGATAGTTTTTTTAAACTCAAAAACTAGTAGAATGATAATTTAGTCATTTTTTATTTCTGCAGAGTATATATTCGATCTTAGCAATAAATGTTATTTTTACTAAAAACGGTACGCTTAACGAAACAAATTAATTGCATTTCAATGTATTTATATGGGAAAAATTGCTTCGAAATACGTACAATTCGACATGCGAGCGTGCTTACAGAACGAATCAAGCTCGTAAGGCATGGTACCACCGTATATATAATGTATTTAGGTAAGATGTTTAACTACTGATTTATAACGAGGTAATGATAAAAATTCTATAAGAATTTTAATTTTTTTTTTCTCCAAAATGTTCAGTTAATAAATTATCTAACCCCCTCCCATTTTACAAGTGAGTTTATTAATAATTCTACACAAAACCATTTGTAAATTATAAAAACATAATAAATAAAAAGTGGTGAACTTCTTGAATAAAAATATACATTTCTTACCTTTGACATTTACTGAAGTCAACTCCTGTATAACCACAAAATTTACATAAAGCTAACATGCCTTCAATATATTTTGGTGGATCCTCTTTCGGTGGCTCAGGCGATTTGCATATCTCAGGAACCTTTTCGGTGAATTAATTTCTGGCTGCGAATGGTGTGGCTGGGTTTCGAATAATACTCAAAATCAGTTATATATATTTAAAACAATAGTACTATGAATAAATCATATATATATATATATATATATATATATATATATATAAATATATATATGTATATATATATATATATATATATATTTCAAAGTAACTAGCAGCCCATTCGTCAAATAAAAAAGTAATAAAGTATTTAAGAACTTTTATTTTACGTTTCGACACCAGATGCGTGTCATCATTCAGCAACTACAATAATTCAAAAATTTTCAGTAATAATAAAGAACAATATAAACTAATTAAAAACAGAGAAACACTATACATACCATCAGGACAAAAACACTTAAAAAAATATTTTTTTAAAAAAATTAAACTTGTATCAATTTGAGGACATTTTTTTTTTTAGGAAAAAGTAATGAAGAACTACAACATTAAAAACATTTTGAAAACAGTTTTGCACTTACAACATTATCTTAAACACGCTCATATCAAGCAAACAACTCTACTGTACTGTTAACAGAGGTGTGTGTTTAATAGCGTAGGGTAGGGGAAGGTAACGAAGACAAATGCAGACAGAGTGGTTGAAATGGATTTGGAGTCAAAGAGGAAACAACAAAACATATAATAGTTTGAACAGAAACCAAAATTGTAAAAAATTATAAAAGGAGATGGAAAATTAATTATAAGTTTTTTTTTGATAAAATCAATAATTAACTGGTAACTATCATGTAGTAAATGGTATGAATTGCGTTTATTAACACAAGAGAAATTTAATGAAATAAGAAAGGATTCTGCAAATTTTCTGAGGTCACTATTTTTTTCGATATAAAGAATAACCCGATGTGAAGTGTTAAAAGTGTGATTGAGTTGAGCATATAATCCGATAGCATCGTTTTGAACTGGTTTGGGTTTTTTGAATTATAAATATGTTGATTAACTCTCTTATACATATACTAGGAACTTTCCCCAATGTAACACATATTGCAATCATTGCAATCCAACCTGTAAACAGAATAGGTAACTCTATCAGACGAGGTTCTAGACTTAAGAACAGAAAAAAAGGCAATTAAAAGTATTATCGAAACTAAAAACTAAACGGAATCCTTCTGAAGAAAATAACTTTTTTTAGAAATAAGAAAAATTGTTCAAAAACGGTAAACAAATAATTCCTTTGTATTGGGTGGAAGAAGAAGCAATTGAGTTTGAACAAGAAAGTGAAAATAAATTATTAAAATCAGTTCGTAAATAATTTAATCTATTATTAATGATGTTGTTGACCAAGTGTGAAGGACAACTATTATCTTTGAGAACAGTACGAATAAAGGTCAACTTTTTTTTCCAAAACATACTGTTGCTCAGTAATATAGCCCTGTCTATAAGAGAGATAATAACAGAAATTTTTATGGAACGCGAATAAAAAGAAAAATTCATCCCATTTACTACATGATAGTTACCTACATAGTAAAGTCGTTTGCTTGATATGGCGTGTTTATGCGTCATAATGTTACAGTGCAAAATGTTTTTAATATTGTAGTTACTCATTATTTTTTCCTAAAAAAAATGTCTTTAATATGTTACAAGTTTAATTTTTTAAAAAATATTTTTTTTAAGTGTTTTTGTCCTGTTGGTATGTATAATGTTTCTCTATGTTTTTAATTAGTTTATAATTGTTTTTTATTATTAGTAAAATTTTTCAAATTATTGTAGTTGCTGAATGATGACATGCATCTGGTGTCGAAACGTAAAATAAAAGTTCTTAAATACTTTATTACTTTTTTATTCGACGAATGGGCTGCTAGTTACTTTGAAATATGTTTCAATGTCACAAAAACTATCAAGATATATATATATATATATATATATATATATATATATATGTATATATATATATATAGTTAAAAAGTCAATAGTGAATAATAAATAATGAATGAATTATATATATAAATATGATTATATGAATTAGTATTTCACCCACACGTGCGCTACATTTACCAAAACGGCATGGTAAATGTGAGTTGAACTCGCATTTTCCAAATGAGCCAGTAAATGTGCACATTGGAAAAGAAAAAGTAGATAGATAAGATATGAAAAGAAGAAGACCTGAGAAAAATGGGTAAAATAGAACTCTACGGAGCACAATTATTAACAGAAAAGAAAAGGAAATTGGATAGAACCCATTCTGCAAGAATGGGTGCCTTCTATATGTCAAATGTAAAAAAGAATGACTAATCTCACACCATTACTAAAAAATAGAAGAACAATAATAAAAAAAAACTTACCACCTCTACATTTCCAACGGTGACAATGTAATCA